TTTTTTAAAGATTTTATTTATTTATTTGACAGACCGAGACAGCGAGAGCAGGAACACAAGCAGGGGGAGTGGGAGAGGGAGAAGCAGACTCCCTGCAGAGCAGGGAGCCCGATGCGGGACTCGATCCCAGGACCCTGGGACCATGACCTGAGCCGAAGGCAGACGCTTAACCGACTGAGCCACCCAGGCGCCCGGGTTTGAACTTTCATCTGAAGTTTTTACAGTGGCCATGTACTAGTTGTATCAGTTTTTCCCGTTTCTTAAAAAGCAGAGCAAGAATTATTTAACATTTTCAGACGAAGTACCTGTCCTCTAGGGACAGCTCATTCTCACCTGAGGAGAATACTGCTCACACAACCATCTGGGTGTGGTTGAAGTTCCAGCTCTAGCAGCAGCTCGTCTGTCTGTGCTGAGCCATTCCTTCCCATTGTCCTTTTTGTGCCTGATAGCCTGCCTGTGTGGTGATGTGGCTGTACCCACGGTGTAACCGTGAAACAGGCTGTGCTGCTTTATGTAGAGAGCAAATCTGTGGTGTTGGCCTCAAACTGAACAGGCCCCGAAAGTGATGTCATGTAGAGGAGTGATGAGCAAAGACCCTGTGAGCCACTCGGGGTCCGCCAAGCCAGGTAGGACTTACAACCTCACTTCACAAATACGAAATTAACAGTGTAAAAGTTGATGTCGTGATCCCGTAAAGGCACGAAAGTATGGGTGAGCTCATTCTCTGCTACTTACGCCAGTGTTTTCCAAACACAAGTCATGGCTATATCTTCCTTATGATTATTTCCATATACGTGTACCATTATTATTTTTTAAATATCTTTTTTTAAATCACTCACTTTTAGAGCATATTTTTCCTAAAGTACAGCATAAATATACAGAGACCAGCAGGAACCTAAAAGTGTTCAGCTTCACAGATTATCAGAAGGTCAGTACATCTATGTAATCACCATCACACAGATCAAGAAATGATACCAGTAACCCACAGGTCCCTCTGCCAGATCTTTCCTCTGCAAAGGTGATCACTCTTGACTCCCCCTAACACCATAGATCGTTTTGCCTACATTTGAACTTATAAATCATCTTTCTTGTTTTTCTGTAGTAGCATCATTTTAAAAGATTGCTTTGTGTCTACTATAAATAGAAAAATTTGTATTTTTCTCATACACATTTTAAAAACGATTTAAATAAAAAGTATTTGTATACTACCTGAAAAGCACTTCCTATACCACCAGTCATATATACCGCACTTAAGGGAACACTGACTTACAATTGCAGACATTTAAAATAGGAAGATAGAAGAACTCAAGTCAAAGTTGAGGCTTTCATAACAATAAATACAACAGTATTTAGTTCTGCCATTAGTAATCTACATGTCATTCTTATGTAGATACCACGTACCCATCCACAGTTTGAACCTAGAAATTTTTTAAATGTGTATTTGATATTTTTTTGCCAGATGTAACTCAGTCTGTTTTATTTTAGGCAGCGTTGTGATTTCTTATTAGGAAAATTGAAATACAAAGAGTTGATTTGTTCACTTGTTCTATTTTGGCAAAACTAGGATTTCAGGGAGTCTCCTCATCATTACCCAACCACCTGAATAAGAATATGCTCTCCGTAATAGTAACCTGCGCTTCCCTGTGGATCAGGAATTGAATAGAACTTTGTGAGGGATCAGCCAGACTGTGTTAGTTTCATTCCTCCAAAATATTTAAAAGACTATTTAATAACCTTAATATTAAAGAATCACAAATATTTATAAGAAATATAAATATTTAAAAGAAAATGTTTCCAGCTGCCCTTGTCCTGTGGATCTCATTTATCCTACAATATTCTGATATTGATTATTGCACACAGCAGACAATCAGGAAGGACCTTTTAACTGAACGATTCTGCCCTTACTAGACTATAAGCCCATGGAGGGCAGAGATCCTTTTGTGTTCAAGGTTCTCAGTCCATACATTGTGGTTTTAGTACATAGTAGTTGAATGAATGAGTGAAGTAAATGAACTTCCTGTTAGAAGGATTATATCTATGTAAACACATTTGACAAAGTGTTCCCTAGAAAAAGCAAATAAGAGGGGCTCTTGGGTGACTCATTCGGTTAAGCGTCTGCCTACAGCTCAGGTCATGATCCCAGGGTCCTGGGATTGAGTCCCACATTGGGCTCCTTGCTCAGTGGGAAGCCTGCTCCTCCCTCTCCCACTCCCCCTGCTTGTGTTCTCTCGTTCTCTCTCTCTCTCTCTGTCAAATAAATAAATAAAATCTTTAAAAAAAAAAAAAGAAAAGAAAAGAAAAAGTAAATGAGCTACTTCTAAGACATACTTACCTTAGTTTATTTTAAAAAAAAATTTTTTATTCTGATAGCTGTAGAGTGAAAACCTCTTCACAGTATTCTTCAGGAGGGATGATGTCTCCGGTAACAGAAATTAACAGTCTTAAGATTCTCATGTTATTTTTCTAATGCAAATTTTAGGCAAGAGAACGCCTTGGAGGGGAATTCTGTTATTTGGGCCACCTGGAACAGGAAAGTCCTACTTAGCCAAAGCTGTAGCAACAGAAGCAAACAACTCCACGTTTTTTTCAGTATCTTCCTCTGACCTTGTCTCAAAGTGGCTAGGTGAAAGTGAAAAGTAAGTAGTAAGTTGATTTTTTTTTTTTTTTAAGTTTCTCTCTGCCTGGTAATCATTATATCAGTCTATAAAGTAATAGGCTTATATCATTCATAGACATTCAGAGAAGTGACATTAAGTATTCATTTCTGTGTCAGATCAGTGCCTAGTTTGAAATTCATTTCATAGGGAAAAGATAGCATATGTACAGTTACATATAGTATAGTTTAGTAAATCATAAACTGAATCATCTAATTGTAGGATTCTTATTTTCTGGACCAAAACATGATTGGACTTTAGAGTTCTTAAAATACTGTATATATTCTATTTTAGTTTTTTTCATTAAGTCATGTGTCATTTACTATTTTTTTAAGAAACTGAAAGCTTTTACTTATTTTTAGGCTAGTTAAGAACTTATTCCAACTTGCTAGAGAGAGTAAACCTTCCATTATCTTCATTGATGAAATTGATTCTCTGTGCGGCTCAAGAAGTGAAAATGAAAGCGAAGCTGCCCGTAGAATTAAGACGGAGTTCCTAGTTCAAATGCAAGGTAGGGGTACTGACTTCTAAAATAGTTTCTATTTATTTTATAACTGCTATTATCATAATAATGGAAAAAGTTCAAGTCGAATTTCTCCATTTTAGCAGACTAAGTGTTCTCACTGTGCCATGTTTCATTCTGATTGTCCTGCACATGCACACAAAGTCTGCACCCCGTTGTAATCATCTGTAGGATTCTGGCATAAACAGTAAGGAGATGTGCATATTCACTTATAACCTACCAGGAACACTATCAGTAAAAGAATGTGTAGACTTCAAATGAAATCTTTTGAGAAGAATATGAATAGTATTTGTCCATAGTCTAGCAAATTTGATTCTTGGAAATATTTGCATCATTTGAATAATGTGATATTTGATTAAATACAGTTTTTTCAGAGAGAGACTCTCAATATGAGGCACTTTATTAACATTAAAACACCACTTTTTTTTTTTTTTAAAGATTTTATTTATTTATTTGAGAGAGAGAGACAGAGTGAGAGCATGAGAGGGGGGAGGGTCGGGAGGGTCAGAGGGAGAAGCAGACTCCCTGCCGAGCAGGGAGCCCGATGCGGGACTCAATCCCGGGACTCCAGGATCATGACCTGAGCCGAAGGCAGTCGCTTAACCAACTGAGCCACCCAGGCGCCCTAAAACACCACATTCTTAACAGAACATATAGATGAGGTTGAAAAGAACACTAAAATGACAAATTACTTAAAATATTACGTATTTTGATGCAGGTGTTGGTATAGACAATGATGGAATTTTGGTTCTGGGAGCTACAAATATACCCTGGGTTCTGGATTCTGCCATTAGAAGAAGGTATGATGATACAATGAAGATCTTATTTCTCACTGCAGATGTAACATGTCAGTGACAGTTCCCTTTTTGTTCGTTGAAGAGGCATTCTGACAACTTTTCAGAATTTTTTTGATATACTCTAACTCTGTTGCCCCCTGCGTTGGGGGAAGAGAGGCAGGCATTTGTTTGCTTACTTGCTTGCTATATTGAAGATACGAGATTTTCGTATACGGAATCTTTCACATTGGAAAATATATTACCTAATGCTTACTTTTAATTCTAATTAAGCTTAGTGTAAGGCACTGATGCTTCATGTACAAATGTAGCTTGGTATTTCAGTGGGAAACTTTCACATAAAATTTTAGCAAAATGACAATCATATAAGTTAAAGTATGATAGATAACCAAGATATATTTCATTAAAAGTTTATGTCTATAATTTTTTAATTACTTATTGAACTTGAGCTACAGGAAAGATATATGGACTCGTTACTTTTCATGCACACCGTTCCCTATTTCATTCATTGAATTTTGCATGGTAAAAATTAGCACCAGTTCTTGCCACTTTTATCCGTTCACTTGATGGTTTGCCGGGATGCTAGGTTACCATCCAGTATTAAGAAAGGAGATCTGCTGGTTATTTTTGAAAAATGGCCTAATTCTAAACCCATCTCTAGAAATAATGGAAATTTAAAATTCTCATAGCCACAGAGAGTTACCTAAAGAACGAAGTCTTCACAGCCACTTAAATTTTCCCTCGTTGCTTCCTCCCTACCCAAATGCTGAAATTCTGAGAAGGCAAGCAAAGTTACTCTTAATAAAACAGTGTTTACTTATGAACTATTAGAATTATTTATTCTGAATGTACCCATTATAATAAAGTGGACATTTTGTGTATTATTAGATAATAATAAACATATAAACATGTTTATTAGATAAGATTTTGAGTAGCTTTACCATTTTAAATTTATAGAATTATTTTGCCCTCTCTTATTTCATATGATTAACCATATTAATCTCTGGATCAGGAGTTCAGAGTATGATTCTATGAGAAGCTAATCTTGTGGGACATATCATGTTGTGAATTCTAGACATTATAAACACTATGGCCAAAATAACCCAAAAATCATGTGAGAAAGATTAAATCACTCCAAACTGGTTCTCTGGCCATTTTGGTTTTACTTGTTAGTTGCTATTGTGTTCTGGATATTTTCCCATTATTTAATGTAAATATACATGTTTAACTCTGACACAATGGGCTCATTTAACTTAGTCAGCTTAGCTTTATGTAAATGAGAATATCTGAGCATCTCGTTTCTTCTTGAGAAATCTGAATTTTCAATTGAAATTAAATATGTGTAGTAATATTTTTGATGTAAATTTCTTTCGTTTTAAGATTTGAGAAACGAATTTATATTCCTTTGCCTGAGGCCCAGGCCCGAGCAGCGATGTTTAAACTGCACTTGGGGACCACTCAGAACAGTCTCACAAAAACAGACTTCCAAGAACTCGGGAAGAAAACAGACGGATATTCGGGGGCAGACATAAGTGTCATTGTGCGCGATGCGCTGATGCAGCCTGTTAGAAAAGTGCAGTCAGCTACTCATTTTAAAAAGGTAAGGAGCTTTGTTCCATCCTTTCAGATACTTTTAAAGTCAGGTTTTGAGACCATCATTGATTTGTCTTCGAAGAATTTCAGGAAGGTTTCTGTTTTATATAATAAATAATGGGTTTATAGAATAAACATTTCCATGTCTTTGAAAATACATTCTCCCACAAAGTTTATTAATAGCTATTATTAATAGCCTTAATGTATTTTAAAATTTTTTATGCAGTGATTTTTGAAGTACTTATTATTTTGATATAAGTATAGAAACTTTAAATATGTAGTTACCACTGATGTAACTAGAATATCCTCAAGCCGAATCTGGTGCATTTACACCTCATTAACAAAGTAAAAATACCAATAGCTGATATTTAAATTTTCACTGTGTTCTATTCTGTATCTCACTATTTCATTTGTTCCTCACAAAAATTCTACAAGAGATGCCTGTTGCCACCTGTTGATCATTAATCTGAGACTCAGATGTTAACAGGATTAAACTGGGATTTGGCTGCTAACACGGTTTGCCAAGGTACAACCAGAGAGGTACAGACGTGTGATTTTTCTCTAGGTCACATGTACTTCAGAATCTGAGTCCCCGCTTCCCATGCACTGTTTTGTCTGCATGAATGGGTTGAGCATATAGCATTTTGTAAAAAGACTGTGGTCTTGGGATGTCCAAGATATTTAAGTAACAGTGGGGTAGGTAATTTGTACCAACGCTGTTGCTGAGGACAGCAGTACCCAATATTACCATCAACATCAATGTGAAAATGCTGAAAAACGATTAGCAAACTTAATCCAGCAATATGACAAGACTGATGTATCATGACTAAGTTACATACGTATGTCTTGTCCCACAATGAAATAAGTTTTTAAAAAAATGATGAGCTTGAATTAAAACCTGAATTTAAAGCCGGACTCCACAACTTACTTGTTATATCTCCTTGCGCAAATTATATTACCCATTTAAGTCTTGTTTGTATCATCTCTATAGGAGACAGTAGCACTGCCTCCAAGTACAATTGTGGAAACGAAATGAAGTAGTTCTCGGAAAGCACTTGAGTAGCCCCGGGAAATAGCCCTTTCCTTCTGCAGCCACTTCATTACTGGGAGAAATATAGGAGGCTCAGGGTCAAGTTTATGTCCCAGCCATTGTATTTTCTTTTAAATTCTCTTTGCATTTAGAAACTATTGATTGTTAGGAACTCAGTCCTTTCCTACCCAGAACTTTTCATTCGGTTCTCCATGTGACTGCCAGGGACAGCTTCTGTGACCGTGAAGCTGGGTCCTTCTTAGGAGGATAAAGGTGAAGCAGCCAAATGAATGTTAACATCTGGCCTCCTGCATCATCAGCTAGTAGATATCTCAATGGCTCCATCTTTTACTCCCATTTTAAGGCTGATTATTTCAATTAGCAAGAACAAGATTGCCTGTTTGTGTATTTATCAAATGTCTAAAGTACTACTCTGAGCCTAGAGATAAGTCAGAAAGTACTACAATCAAACACAAAAATCCCTGCTGCTGAAATTTTTGTGGGGAAAGACAGATAATAAAATACACATAATAAGTAAAGCTAGAATGTTTATTTTTCTGTACCTGCCCTAATCCTGACGTAATATTTAAGATTGATCATTGTCAAATAAATATTAAATGTGAAAGCAGCCCCCAATTTAGCATAGATCTGTTGCCACCTATAAAATACTTGCATGTGCTCAGGCTCCCCGCCCACAGACCCCCGGAGGCCAGGGGCGCACGTGACTCTCGTCCCCTGTGTGAGGGGTGTGCCTCCCGCAGCCCAGGGCTCGGAAGGGGGACGCCCCGGGCTCGGGGCCACTGCTCTCGCTTTCTCGTTGTCGCAGACACCCTCCCAGGGGGCATCCCACAACCGGCGCAATGAGTGCCAATGAGGACCAAGAGATGGAACTGGAAGCTCTACGTTCTGTTTATGAAGGAGATGAAAGCTTCCGGGAATTAAGTCCAGTGTCATTTCAATACAGGATAGGTGAAAATGGTGATCCCAAAGCCTTCTTAATAGAGATTTCCTGGACAGAAACATACCCCAAACACTTCCAATTATATCTATGAACGCTTTTTTGAACAACACCATATCATCTGCTGTAAAGCAAAGCATATTAGCCAAGTTACAGGAAGAAGTGGAGGTCAATCTCGGGACTGCCATGACCTACACATTGTTTGAAAATGCCAAGGACAGTAAGGAGCAGTTCATGAGAATCACCAGCCCATGAATTCTATGATACCCATAAGCAGTTATCATCTCCGTTGAAACCCCTAATACAGCCCTACCAAGTAAGAAAAAAGAACAGCTTTCAAAAACCCAGAAACGTAAGCTGGCAGATAAAACAGATCACAAAGGAGAACTGCCTCGAGGGTGGAACTGGGTTGATGTGGTGAAGCATTTAAGCAAACTGGCTCTAAAGATGATGAATAGTACTTGGAATTGAAGACAAGGGAAGAACATCCTTTAAAAAGTAAACTGGGTTCAAAATCCTTCATTACTCTTTTCTGGTATTGAGGTGGCTTTTTATAAAACAGAATTCTTTTGTATGTTTCTTACGTAAAAAACGTTTTAAGCTGGAAGTTCATGAAGAGATCTGGTTGTATTAAATTATTTTCACAAACTTGCCTTAATAAAAGGTGAAATGTTAAAAAAAAATACTCGCATGTGACTCTGAGTCACAAAGTTTTGTCTCTGGGTGTTATTAAAATTTTATTTTAAATCAGTTATGAATCTCAAAATAAGCACTGAAATTACACTTAGCATTTAATTTTGTACTTATTTTTATTTTATTTTTTTTTAAAGATTTTTTATTTATTTATTTGACAGAGAGAGAGATAGCGAGAGCAGGAACACAAGCAGGGGGAGTGGGAGAGCGAGAAGCAGGCTTCCTGCCGAGCAGGGAGCCCGATGTGGGACTCGATCCCAGGACCCCGGGATCATGACCTGAGCCGAAGGCAGACGCTTAACGACTGAGCCACCCAGGCGCCCCTGTACTTATTTTTAAAGAAGGAATTTTTGTTGAGAAAGAAAGATTCAGTGATTTCACACTTATAAATCTTCCAAATATCACAGAACTTTCTCAGTTTTGGAAAATAGAGAAAACTTAAGAGACTTATTGAGGATGCCTTTTTTGTGGACTCTAAGACCATTTAATAGGCATTAGAGAAAAGAGAACTCTTAACCACAGATGTTTCTTTTTTTTTTTCTTTTAATTTTAACTCCTTTTCTCCTTTGATCATGTAAGTAATATAGGAAATTTCAAAATACAAGAAAGCAACAGGAAAAAAATCAAAACCAAACAAAATCTATCCCGTCACCCAAAGATAACTACATTTTGTTGTATATTCATGTTTATTTTTAGAAGTAAACATTTTAACCAAGTACAAAATAGTACATTTTCAAATGTCTTGATAATGGCCTAAATCTTAGTTAATTTGTTCAAGTAAATATTTCAGATTACTTTTTATTCCAGGTGTGCGGACCTTCACGAGATGATCCCAACAAAATAATAGATGACCTGCTAACACCCTGTTCTCCTGGTGACCCTGGGGCCATTGAAATGACATGGATGGACGTTCCTGGGGATAAACTTTTGGAGCCAATTGTTTGCATGGTTTGACATTTTAAAAAATTTGAAACATTACAGTTTGTCATTTGTGAGACAGAGATAAACATTTTTAGTTATATAAGATGAGCTAGAAAATATCAGTATGATCAAGCATGTTTATGTAATACTACTCAAAAAATTGTGAAGTTAATTGAACTTAAAATATAAAAAATAATTATCTTTAAAATAGGTTCTTGGGCTTTAAGAAAAATTTTAAGTGAAAAAGTTTTTTTTCAAAAAACAGGTTTCTAAGCTTTTATAGGTCTTATGGCTGGGATACTATCAACAGAATACTTATTTATATGGCATAAATTATTGTCAAGACTTGACCAAAAAGTAAAATTGGTGAAATTTCTTTTCTGAATCTTAAGATTTTATAAAATATCCAGAAACCTTAATGCATCTATCATAGTAATCATAATGGTGTTTTTCTGTTTTACTTCAAGTTTTGTAGAAAATTTAATGTAGTGCTTGAAAAAAAAAGTCCTGAAACCAAATTTTTATGATAAAAAAAATTACATTTCTATAGTTTATATTGGAGGGATTTATAATTCTTAAGACTTATTTTGTAAGGTATAGGAAGCTTACTGTGAAAAGCTACATTTATTATTTTTATGTTTTCTTATTGGTGCATGCTCAGTTTTTTAAAAATCTGCTTCAGTTACAGATTTTCAAAGAGCTTTATGTCAGAATTAACAGTAACTTCCAGAGGAGAAACTTATTTATGCGATATGTACACATAGACCTATAGACATACACATACCTCTATAAGTACATAGTATGTATATAGATATATTTACGTGTTAATTATGCTTCTCCGAGAAGTTATTCAGAAACCCTTTTTTGTTTCAGTCCTTGCTATGTTATTTTTTTTTAAGATTTACTTATTTATTTTAAAGAGAAGCGTGAGTGTGGGTGGGGATTGGGGGAGAGGGAGAGAGAGAATCTCAAGCAGACTCCCTGCTGAGTGTGGAACCCATCATGGGGATCCCTGAGATCATGACCTGAGCTGAAATCAAGAGTCGGATGCTCAACCAACTGAGCCACTCAGGTGCCCCACTATGTTATTTTTTATAAAGATTTTGTTCTTTGACCATTTTTCATACTGTTTTATAAGAGACATAGCCCAGAAGTTAATCTTTTAATGAATCCCTGATGTTAGCCTATTTTCTTCCCATTTTGATCATAATTTTAATTAATAGTTAAAAATTCTGGGGGCGCCTGGGTGTCTTGGTCAGTTAAGTGTCTGCCTTTGGCTCAGGTCATGATCTTGGGCTCCCTGCTTTGCGGGGAGTCTGCTTCTCCCTCTCCCTCTACCCTCCCTCCCACTGGTACTCTCTTGTCCCTCTCTTTCTCTCTCAAATAAATAAATAAAATATTTTTTAAAAAATTCTGATTAATTGGTTTTAATTAAATGGTGTGTTTCACATAAGTATAAGTGAATAACTTCTGTAAGTGAATGACTAAATTCATTTTGAACTGCACTTGGTGAACTCTCTTGTTTTAAGAAAAAAACAGATAAGACCAGAAAAGAGATCAGGGACATATTTTGGAAGGCCTTGATCTTCAAGCGAAAAGGATTATACTCCTGATAGGTAATGGGAGCCATCAAAAGTTGTGGTCAGGACTAGGCAAGCAGCTTAAAGTTACTGTGCAAAGGAAGAGCAGGATCAAAGATGTCCTTTAGAAGGAATAAGAGTTTATTGTTAGTAACTTACGGCACACTGCAAATACTTAGATTTAACCTCAGGTGGAAAGTTAGTTAATAATAATACAATGATTTTTATTTGATTAAATCTATTACTAATACTCCTCCCTTCTTTTTCCCTGACAGTCGGATATGTTACGGTCCCTATCTAACACAAAACCCACAGTCAATGAACATGACTTGTTGAAATTAAAGAAGTTTACAGAAGATTTTGGCCAAGAAGGCTAAACCAAAGACAACGAGGAAGACATTACCATGCGTGTTCTTTATTTCGTAGGTACTTTTGCCTTTCTTGGATGGCATTCAGATTATTTCCAGTAAAACTCTTTTACCACAGGGAAATACAGATCTCACTCCAGAGTTCCTTTAATTTTATATGTATTTTTGCTCCATTACCAGTTAAATGCTCCTGTTAACAAAAATTATAAAATAATGGATAATAAGGAGCGGGCGCCTGGGTGGCTCAGTTGGTTAAGCGACTGCCTTCGGTTCAGGTCATGATCCTGGAGTCCCTGGATCGAGTCCCGCATCGGGCTCCCTGCTTGGCAGGGAGTCTGCTTCTCCCTCTGACCCTCCTCCCTCTCATGCTCTCTGTCTCTCATTCTCTCTCTCTCAAATAAATAAATAAAATCTTTAAAAAAAAAATAATAATGGATAATAAGGAAACGAGTGATACATGAATGGCAAAAAATAGGAATTACCCAGTTAAGAGGAGGACTAACATTGATTGAGATACCAATATTTGGAATTGATGGTATTTGCAAAGAGCATTTCTTTTTTTCTTTTTCTTTTTTTTTCTTTTTTACCAAAATGAAATAGGGCTTATTTTATATTTTGAAAAACAATTCTTAAGCATAATTCTCATCAATGTAAAATTTATTTACTTAATTAAAAAATTTTAAATAATAGAATATTCTCAGGAATGGGCAATAAAACAGCAAAGAAGCACTGTGATTGGGCTTGAAAGATTCTGAATTGTGTTCTAGCCAAGTCTCACTGATTTTTGATAGGCTAACATTTTTCTTTGTGTAGATTTCAATAATTTCTTTAAAAGCAACAAGCTTCTATAATTAAATACCTTTCACTGTGCAGTCTCAAGAGAAAGACTTTCTAAATTGGTATTGTCTTCATCTTGAAGAAGAAAATTGTCTATTTCAGTATCTTTTTGTAGGAAGATTGACCAAAACAGATGGCAAATAAATACATACTTTTTAAATAATTCTGTCATGAAATACTATAAGGGAACTTTTGCTAAAAGGAATGGCCTCCCTTTGAATTATGGGAAGTTTGTGGGTGTGTGTGTGTACATATATATATATAGATATAATTTTTTTTTTTTTTAATATAGGCTACCAAGGGTCTTGTCTTTTACCTTTTAAGTCCAGGGAACAGTTTGTCCTTGCCACATATATGTTATCAAGTGTAATGCTTGTGAAGCTTTAGAAATGAGCTAATGTCTCATTAAATAATAAAATACAAACATGATTATGTTATTTTAATATCTCCAAATAAATCTGAAGGTGTATGTTACACACTTTAGCATCAACACTAAGTTGTGCCTTGTGCATTTGCATTGGCTATATATGCAAAAGGATGATTAAATTAGCTGGAATGAGGTTGGTTCCTTAATTACTATAAAGTTCTACCTTGCAAATACTATAGAATAACTTGCATTTTAAAGTATATTTGCACATTTTATGTATAATGCTCTATCGTTGCCTTTGGGTTTTCTGTACAGATTGTTTTTGTTGATACTAAATGGAAATCATAGGCCTGAAATACGCTGTTCTTATGTGAAGTAAATTGATATAACCTACTATTGGCTATATTCTGTGTATGCTTCTTTATTTTGGGATCTTTTGTATAGGAGAGAATATTATCTAAATTGATTAGATCAAAGATATCATTAGAAATTATTGAGAATGTATACATGAAAAATTCTGTTTTTCAACTTTAATGTGAGGGTTGGGAGTTAACTTGGCAGACTAACAGTTCTTTGTGGCTGCTTTATAAAATAATTTATATTCTTTATCAGCCTCAGAATTATACAGTATTGCTATTATATCATTAGGCAAATTCACATAATTATATAATAGTTGAAATTCAGAATTTTTTGTAAATCCAGAATTTGTTTTGAGGAGGTATTTTACTTAATTTGACAAAATACATGACCCAATAGTAAGTATAGTGTGGATGATAAATGGGTACTTTATCACACTTAATTCTTACATGTGCTTAGAGAAGTGTATCTCAGTATCCATATCACTTCCAGCCATGGCTCTATTTTCTGTATTACATCTACATTTTTTACATTTCTGATTCCAATCCTATTTCTGGAATCAAATAGTTTTAGACTTATTCTGAAATGGTAGTGTATAGGCCATATCCCATGAGTTCTTTAGGGACAGATAAGTACTCACAATGTTCAGGCTCTGTCTGAACTTGGACTATTACGAAATTTTGGGTAGATGGTTTCTGAGGCTACTTGGAGTACCTCTGTGAGCTATATATACCCTAGATGTTGAAGAACACTTTTTTTTCCTCATCCTGGAAGCCATAGGAGTCTTAATAAAAAGAATTTCAATAGCAAATTAACTTTTGAGTTTCTTGATAGCATGCAGAAAAACAGAATGAGTATATATATTTGATTATTAATGTGCAGGACCATCGGCCACTTGGCCCTGGCACCGGTAAGGAGTGGAGGCGCACCTCTGTAACGCCGTAGCCGCGGATGTTGCTTGACGCTGTTGCAGGTGGAACAACAGCGAGTGCCCAGCACAGACACTGGTTTCACCTCACCTTTGGGAGCTCTCATAGGTGTCGTGTGCTTTCCTGCCTCCATACCTTCCTTTACCGCCTTCTGTTACTGTGCTACACTGTCCTTTCTTCTCTGCTGCTCCAAATCCCATTACTTCCACTAAGACCTAGCTCATGGCCTGTATCGTCTCTGCCAGGAAGAATTCCTAAACTACCCCCAGTCCTACCTTTGGCTTCCTAGATTCTCTGTGAGGCTTTTTATAAAATAGATCATTTGAAGCGACTTTGTTCTTGCTGGTCTAGTGAAATGATGAATTTCAGTCTTGGTTACTGGGGACTAAAATCAGAGGTAGGCCAGGACTGGCTCCTGTTGGCTTAGGAGAACCAGTGCCCATCTCTTCGTACCTGTGAGTTCCGTGAGCTCGTTTTGGCAGCTTGAAATCTGCTACGGTGGGAGGATTCGTGCCACAGAAATCAAATTGCAGTTAGCGTGGTGCCACACAAAACCGAGTCTGTCTGTAATTGAAAAATTAATATTATTTATTGCATTTACAGAAATTACATTTTTAGAGTCATAAAAAGCATTTGATAAAATCCAGTACCTATTTATGATTTTTTTTTAAAAAACTTTACAAACTAGGAATAGAAGGGAGCTTCTTAATAAAGGACAACTGCCAAAAAAAAAGAAAAAGAAAAAGCACTGTAGCAGGCATCATACTTCATTGTGAATTATGGAAAACTTGACTCCGGCTATCACTACTTCTCTTCAACCTTGGACAGGAAATTCTAAGTTTAGGAATTAAAAAGGAAGAAACAAAATTGTTATTCTCAGATAACATTGTATATGTAGGAAATCCAAATTAATATAAACAACTTAGAACTTGAATTTAATAAGATTACAGGACGCAAAGTTAATAAAATCATGGTGGTTATCTGAGCAACAATTAGGAATTGAAATTACAAAAACAATACCAATTATAACAGTATCAGCATCAGATACCTCAAAATAAGTCTGAAATATATGCAGACCTTCACATAAAAAACTAGGATACATTACAAACAAAGGAAAACCCGAGTAAGTAGGGAGATGTTCATGAGTCAGAAGACTGTTAGCAAAGTATCCATTCTAACTGAGTTGATTCTAGACTTAATATAATCTCAAATCTGGATCTGGGTGATATGCAGGTCACTCTGTACATCTATGTATGTATTCTGTATCTCCAAAAACAAAAATAGATGCTTAATTTATTGATTAAAAAGAAAAAATATTTTATAGTTTGAATCCATTTTTATAATAGTGTATTTCTCCTAGCTGTATGTTTTTTGTCCATTTATCTATATAATCATTCACCCAGATATCTGTACATATACATAGAAACAAATTATTTTCACCTTATGTTCATTTTATTATTTGTGGGTAGTGAGATTTTGGTTTTTTGGGTTTTTTTTAAATTTTCTCTACCTCTTTTATCTTCAGGTAGATTTTCAGATGTCACCTTTTCAGTGAGACATTCCCTGGTCATCCTATTTAAAATTGCAATCCCTCCTGATGCTCCTTATACCCATTCCCTGCTTTATTTTCTTCTGTAGCACTTATCATGTAACCTGCTGTATAGTTTACTATTTTTCTTATTTGTAATTTTTCCTACTAACATGTATGTTCTGTGAGAACTGGGATTTTCTTGTCTGTCTTTTTTTTTTCTCTCTCTCTCTCTTTCTGCTGTATCTCAGTATCTGGAACAGTGCCTGGTACCTGATGGTGCTCAATAAATATTTATTGAGTGAATGGAATCTTTGTATGTTTTTCTCAGTTTGAATACTTTACAATAAGCATGTATTATTTTTGCCCCTCTCCTACGTTTTTACTTTAAAAAAAAAGAAAATTAGGAATGAAAACAAATACATCAAGAAATTAACGGTGGCTAAATCTGGGTGGTAGCAGTATGGATGCTTGTTAATTTTTCCTTTGTTTTCATCTTTAAATATTTTAATTTCCCAAAATAAGCAAAAGTTTTTAGGGAAGAATTACAGTTGGGCTGAGAGCTGATCACAGGAATTTGTCTCCCTCTTTTGGAGCCCTATAAAATAACAGAACAGCTTTTAAGAAGAGAGTGAAAAAATAGGACAGCATAGATATAATTCTTCAAACAAATGGACTTTGGAAGAGTGCTATTCATCCAAACTGCCTTCCTGATTTGGGGAATGCCCCTAGCCTCCCACTACAGAACCAAAGTGGGGACATCCTGTTTCTTCAGCACGAGGCAGCCATCACAGGGACACCTGACTAGCTGTGGTTAATCAGATGCTGCCATCCAGGTCCGTCTATCTTGAGCACCACAAAGATGTCAGGACATTAAAAACAGGGTCATAGCAGCATCAATAGCATCTTACCCGATGGGAATCTGGTAGCTTGTGGTGGGACAGCTAATTACATTATGGTCTGTGATCCCATGGAATGAAGGGCCCAGCGAGGACAAGACATTGGGGAACTCCTTCGTAGCTGCTGTAGAACAAAATGAAGGCATGAGAACTTCAAGGACTGCTAGTTGAGGTCAGGGCAGGAAGAGAAACCCAGGGATCTTCTATGACTATAAACATTTCTTGCATTCACAGTACTAAAATAGCCAAGTGAAACTTAATACATGATTGTGCAGTTACCAAGTGTTATCAGTTGAATCCAGATTCAATTTTGTGGGGTTTTTTTTGTTTTTTTACTGTGAAGGTAAGGAAGT